AGTAGTCTCATTTAAAAGGAGACTACAGTATATGCTTAAGTGTTAATGACACTGAGGACTCAATTATCAAGCTGATGTTGAGAAAGAAAAAGAGTAGGTGAGAAGAAATATGCCTATGCAGTGCATGACAGCCAAGAACTTTCATGCTAGGTTGAAGTAAAACAAAGGCACACTTTTAAATGCTTAAAAATTAAGTTTCACAGTAACAGACAAACCCTTAACTAAACTACATTAGCACATGCCGCTACAGTAAGATTCTTTTAATAAAATCTTTACATGCACCTCAAAGCTCCTACAGGCATTTTTGTGAAAAGACCATGCTTTTTTTACTGTACCTGAACATTTCTGTACCTGTCACGCTGCATGTTAATGAAAAAATAAGACAGGGAACATTAGGTTATTTTCACATGTCCTTTCTAAAGGTATGATTTCTATTTATTTTTACACATCACATTACATGCAGTTTCACTTTAGCAGAACTAACAAAAGCACTTCAGCCTAATTTTAGATGACAACTTTGCCAAGTCAAATAGAAAGGTTTCACTGTGCTGGAAGAAAAGACTAAACAATTAAAGAGCAACGTTTCTCCTCTTTGCACCCTCTCTGCAACCCCCAAAACACAGGCACTGATAAAGAGGTTTGAGGGAAGTAGTTTGTTTTTACTAATACTCCTCATCTTGAGTAGACTTGATAGGAAGGAGTTACGCACTACTAACAATGCTCTGGGAAGACAATTGCTGTCTATAGTTTCCAGCGAGAAGAATTTCCACTTCTAGCATCTCCCTTATAACCATATGAAAGCACACAGTTAAAGACAGCATGCACTCCAAAAAATTCAGCTTGGGCTTTCTGTGAATTAATGCTGAAAAAGCCTGGCAGACAACCTACAGTAAGGGTGCCACACCAGTGCACAATGCTGAGGCTTCGGCAGCATACCCAGTTGTGCTAGTTGAACTTTGCCTGTTCCCAGGTGCCACTGACACCACTGGCAGCCAGTCATACCCAAGGAATAAGCATAACCTGGCCTCTTGATTTTTAAATCAAGTGCGAGGCCTTATTTGAAATACTGCCCACATTAATGAAATAAACAACTTAGAGGAGTACACACGTACGCAGAAAGCACTTACGTCGTTTCTGGGAAACCGCCTGTAAACAAGCTGTGACAATATCGCAGTTCTTCTGGACTTTATGTACAAGCCTGTCCTTCTGCTTCAGAAGACGAAGCAACTTTGCTGATTGAACAGAAATTCTGTAATTCAGTTCTCGTTTTATAGTTGTTAATTCATCGACATCTGCCAATAAGCAGAGAAAATAACTTCAGTACAGGCCAAAAGAAATCATAAACAGCTTATTGTAGTTGACATGCAAAGGGACTTGCCCCATGGATATTTACATATACAAACTTTATGTAAATTACAAGTTCTATTGACTGGGATAATTCCCAATTATAAACATTTTCAGGATCTGTGCCAAAGTCTTTAATTTTCTTATAAACTAATGTACTTCAGCTTATTACACCGTGTATAAATCTTAATAATTATACTGTTATAAATTGGAAAAATTGTGACTGACATAGCCAGAATATACCTATAGTAGTGCAACCAGGGGGTAAATTTTAAATTACAGTACCTTCCAGAAGCTGCTGGTGGAAAGGGTGCATGGGGAATAAGCAAATGGTAACAGGCAAAGGAACATGTTCAAGAAGGTGCCTGCAAAGCTAGAAGGGCAGCTCCGGGATGAGCTCTTTCCACTAAGATGCAAACTAGGTGGCTACAGTCATGGCCTCAACTATTTCCACTGGTCTGTCACAGTGCCACCAGACACCCTTAGTTCACCAAAATGTCTCAGCTTACTTCTAATACTCCTGTTGTCCCCTCATGTGGTGAGCTTCAGGTCCAGGAGAAAAAGGAGTTGTTGGGGAGATGTCTTAAGTGGTTTTCTGGGGGGGGCGGGGTGTTGAGTCCTCTGCTCTGTTCTTAGGGGCACACCCCACCGGTGAAAGCTTGGGTCTTGCCTATCACATGATGACCCTGCAATAGGCTGGTACAGCTTGCCACCAACATCTAAACAGCTGTCTGTTCCCTGCGGCTAAGTTTTCAAATCCTATCACTTTCAAACCAACCATGCCCCCCTGATGCTGGGAGAAAAATCAGTCAAAAAAATTCATACTTTGGTAACCTGATCCAATGAGAAAAATATTTATGCATCCAGGAAAAACTACTATTAGCGGGATGGTAAACAGCTCAGCTCCTATGGCAAAACTTTTTCAACAGTTCTGGAGAGCTTAAAGAAAATGACAAATTAGGCTGAAATGACAATCAGTCATGGGATAGAGAAGAGCAAGGCACGACTGCACGGGAAGGGAGCCCCTGGTAAAACAGTCCTGTATTTTATAGACGCTAGCCTGTTTCAGCACCTGCTGCTTTGCTGGAACTCCCAATCCCTTGTACCAGGCGAGGTGATTTAACGCTACACCTAAGGATTTTGGGAGCAAAAAATTTAAGTCGTATTCCAACTGACCTGTACAGTCACCACAAAAGTAGCAAGCTGAATTTTATTCTTTCCTACTCGTGCCAGTTAGCTGTCCCTGTAAAAACAATTAACTCTGCAGCAAAATTAATGAGTTCAAATTCCACAAAATATATTCCTGAACAAGCAAATTTCTTGCCGAGTCCCAGATTGCCAGAGGACACACATAGGAACTTGAGCTGCATCCTGTAACATCAGATGGCATATCAGCCCATTAAGAAGCCAAACACGGAAGCAGAAAGCTGTTTGCCCAGGTCTGAAATAAAGCATGTTTATTCACCTCTTGCTTTTTTCCCCCCTTGTCAAAAGCAAGAATGATTTAACGTCAGGAGACAAGAGGCCTTTTTACAGCCCTCCTGATGGGGCCAACTTGGAGTTGCAAATCTCATTCTTTCACAAGCACGCAGTGTTGTGGCCACTTGGCTTTCATAAGGATTCTTTAATAGTTTCATTTAGATTTTGGTTAGCTGACTATTGCACTTACTTCTTTTCAATTACACTTTTTTTTTTCCCCTAGAAGACATGCTTACCTGCAAGTAAGCTTTACAACTGCCAGGTTTAGTTTAAGTCCACTAGAACGAAAAGGACCTAAACCACCCAACTACCTCTTATGGCACAGCGTGCACGGCATCTCTTCCAGCTTAAGAGAAAAGGGACAGAAAGGGACGGAAACCCGGCCGCTGATCCGTTGCCGTAAGCGAAGAAAAGCACTGAACTGGCAGGAGCACGGCAGCCCCGCGGCAGCTGACCCCGGTTTCCTCCTCAGACAGGGAGCGATGGCAGAGGGCGGGCGGCCCCGGGCCGACGGCGGAACGGCCTACCCGCGCCCGGCCAGCCCCCGCGGCAGACGGCCGCGCACACGGGCCGCTGCGGCGAGGGAGGGAGGGAGGATCCGTAGGCTCGCCCGGAGGATCACCTGCGGGATCTCCCCTGCGGGCTGAGGGGGAAGCGAGGCGGCAGGGGCAGCTCCCGGCCCCGGCGGAGCGGTGCGGTGCGGGGCAGGCCGTACCTTTCAGCCGCAGGTACTCGACCTGGCTCGGCCGCCGCTGCAGCTCCCGGAGGACGCGGGAGCGGGCGCTGCCCGAGGGGGCGGCCGCCTCGGCGGCGCTGTAGAGCTCAGTGAGCAGCCCGCTCACCAACGACGAGGTGCGGCTGGACCGGCCGCTGCCGGGACCTTCCTCGTCCTCGTCCTCCTCTTCCTCCTCGGCCAGGCTGTCGGCGCTGCTGCCCGCCCTGCCGCCCGGGCCGGGCTCCCCGGCCTCCATCTTCCTCAGCCGCCCGGCAGCCCCGAGTTCCGGGCTCGGCCCGTTCCACAGCGAGGAGCGCGGGGGGGCGGGAGAGCCCAAGGCCGGCAGGACGCTCCCCCGCAGGCAGGAGTGCCGCGCCCGGCTCCACTTCCTCCCCCCCCACCCCCCCGCACCGCGCGGCGTGGTAGAG